ATCAATTGGCCTGAGTCATGCAGAGTGGCCATGCCTCTACTCCCAGGATTAGCTTAATAGTTTGTACAATCGTTCAAATTGTGTATTTTATGTTGGATGCGTTTTGGTGGCTTTTATTTTTAATGAGTCAGTTTTTTCCTAAATTACCAATTTTATAGAGGTAGCATTTGCCACAGTATTTTTTATCACAATAATAACCCTGGAGCGACGCCCTTCCCTTTCATGGCGATAGCGTTGATTTCATTTTCCCCTTCAGTCTGGATTAGAGCCTTGTCAATTTTGTTGTTTTTAAACAGCTGGCTGGTTCTCAGTTTTGTTACCTTTTCTGTTTTCAGTTATCTCTATTTCCATTCTTTTAGTACCATCCTTCCTTCTGTGTCTAATACGGTCTTGTTCTTCTCCTTAACTATGAAAGAACTCATTCTTCAATTGTTTAACCTTAGCACGTTAGCGGTCTCAGATTTTGTTTTAGAGGACTTTTAATTGTGTTGGGGGCGGGGGGGGGGGGGGTTCTCCATGTGTGTACGGTGACAGTGGCCAGAGCTGGAGTTGCCGGTGGTTGTGAACCACCTGCACAGGTGCTGGGACTGAACCTGGGTCGTCCGTTGAGAGCAGTATAACCTCTTACCTGCTGAGCCATTACCTTACCTCTCCAGCTCCCGGTCTTGCTTTGGTGTGTAGAACTCCCTGTGTTTTTATTTATTTATTTATTTCCTTCTGCATATTAAGTGTGCTCAGGTCCCTGTTTGACTACAGAGGAGTAGCGTGTGGGTCTGTTTCTACTGTCTGTTGTTTCGGTTATAGATGTTAGTTTTCAGGCATCTGCACTGGCCTGCCCTTGGGGTCCTGACAGGATCCGTCCTCAGCTGCAGCTGCTGAGAGCACCTCCTGTGCACCTTCACTGTGTTCCCTATTAAATGGGACCTGCCTACTTTCCTTCTCTCTCTCTCTCTGTCTCTCTGCGCCTCTCTCTTGTCTTCTGCTGCTCCTGTACCCAGAGGCCAGTCTCCCCCATCCTGTACCCTATTTTAACGTTCCCTTTCCCCCAATAAAACCTCCTCCAGCTCTGTTGCATGGCGCCTTTCTCTCGCGCGTCGCCTTTTAAATGGCAACAATAGACCTTGACTGGTTAGATGACATCCTTGACTCCTAGGATTTTTTTTTCTTTTTTAATTAATTTGGAAATGATGTGTGAAAATTTTCAGAGGTTCTGGATGGCATCTTCTTGTGTTATAAGGAGAGGGTTTGTGTACTTTAAAAGGAAGCAAGAATACAGGAGATTACCTTATTTTAGGTATTGTAGTGACTTTGCAGTAGTTGTTGGCTCTATGAGGCCCCATGTATTTGTCTTCTGATAATTATAGGATTTAATATTTCATTTATGGGAACTGAAAACTTAAGCTGCTTACCATGCTCAGGCCTCTTGATGGATCCAAAACTTCACTTTGTCCCCTGGGTCCACCAGAACCAGGCAGAGTTTCTGTCTGCCTTGTGGTCCCATGCCCCCCTTCAGGCTTTCCCATAGGCTACTCGGGAACTAGCAAACACAGGCAGGGAGGACCAGGGGTTGGGGTCCCTTCTCTTTGGTGCTGTTTTTCGGTGTTTGTCTCTTCAGTTTCTGAGGATTTTCAGAGCCCCACACCACTTCAGAATTCTGATTACTGGGTCTGCGAGACGGTTCAGTGGGTCGGAGTACTCACAATACGCATCTCAGCCACGTGTGTATACAGACAAAGAGAGCGGCATGTGTCTGTAGCCCAGTGACTGGAAGAGAAGGCAGGGGAAAGGAGGAGTCCGCTGGGGCTTGCCTGCTACCAGCCTAACTGGAAACCAGCAGGCTCCAAGGTTCTGTAAGACACCCTGCCTCAAACATGAGCAATAAAGACGCCGTGTCTTCCTCTGGACCTCCCCATGGACACATGAACACCTGTACCTGCACACATTTATCTCCAAACATCCATAACACACACGCACGTGCTTGCACACACACATAGGCACACACCAACTACTCGAGGAGAAAATAGCAAATAATGTTGGGATTTCTTCAATGTCTTCTGGTAGAAGAACTAGACCAGCTTCCCGTCTTCCTCTTGTTCTGCATTCTTCCCCTAATCCGTGAGTCATTCCACGCTCAGGGAGCTCTTGCTGTGTCTGGGCTCTGTCCTAACCACGGGCAACATGACAGATAGGATCCTTGCCCTGGAGGTCTTCATAGACTTGTTAAAGCTGGATGGATGACCAAGAGCTGGTGAACACATGCTGCTTCCCCTGCCCTGTGGGCAAGGGTCAGAATTTTATGATCTTGTCCCTTTGCAATCCTAGCAATGACCTCAGCATGTAGGTGCTGTAGCTTGGGGCACTTTTGTGACTTGCCCAAGGTCCAACCAAAAGACGTAAGATTTGAATCAGACAGTTCCAAGAATAGGTAGAGCCTCTCACTGATGTGAAGACAGTAGAGACAGTCACGTCACTGCCTAGGAATAGTGAGGGTTTTTACGGCTGATTAGAATTGTCTACTCACAGTCCAAAGCACCCGTTAGTTGAGGCAGGCAAACCCTGTATTTACCACATATTCCTGGCAAAACAGGCCAACTAATAATAGGCGACCAGCCCTACTTTCGGTAAGTAAAAATTATTTGGGAGACCTGTGTTCGAGTGGATATTTTAAAATCAGGTGAATCATTTTCACCTTTAAAATGACCTGACCTTCAGAAAATGAGTTGGAGTGTATTCTCTGTAGCGTAATACAGTGTCGTGGGAGAACGCACCATGAGTTGCCTACGATGTTTTGCATCTATTAGCCGAACTGGTAGACCTCTGAGCTCCAAGGAGGTTGGTGTGATGGTTTTAACCCTGCAGGTGACGGCAGCTTCGTTATCTGTAAGCAAACTCTCAATCCCGTGTTGTTGACAGAGGAGAATGGATGATGGGAAGTTGGGTGCTTGCTGTAGGAAACAGGTCCCCATTTTCTCATGGGGAATACAGTCCCTGGTCAGCTTAACTTGCCAGACAAGCCTAAGTCAGGATAGAGTGAAGCATACTTATAAAATCGACAGGAAATTGAAAAGGAAGAGGGGCTAGTTTTTACCAATCTTTAAATGCAGTGCTGAAATGTAGAGGTTTCTAAGAACTTGCTTCTGAAGACATCACCTACTGGTGGAAGCTGGCATTGCAACTTCCTGCTCTGTAAATAAAGGAGCAGCAGCTGAGGCTTCCCAGCCTGGGCTAAGACAAGTCAGGCAGCCAGCGGGGAGAAGTTGATCCCTGGCCTTCTGTCCCTGCCTTCTCCCCCTCCCCACCGCATCACTAGGACCCACACTCTGAACAGAAAGCCAGCACTATAAATAGAATGTGGATTTGGGCATTAGAACCATTGCTTACATCTGCCCCTTATAAGGCATTCCAACCAACTTACATTGACACTGGCTTCAACTGTTGTCATCCAAACAAGTAGCTCCGTCCCCAACTGTCACCAGTCTGAAATTAAAGGATCTTTCTTTATAGTTTACCTTTACGTGAGGCAGGCTACCACCAACAGCTTCAGGAAAATAATTATTCCAATAAAAATCCATCTTATCTTTAATTGGGGCTAGCTTGGAAATTAAGAAAAAAAAATGGGCTTGGAAGCTTCCACGGCCAAGCAGACTGGGCACTAGTCTTGTGAAAGCGGCAGGTCTTCTCACTTTCTTGAAGATGTTTTATCCCGTGACACAAGTGTAATTTTACCAGTTGAGTCCCAGAGCTACTCATATCTTATATGTGAATGTGTGCATACATATATGTGCGTGCATGTGTATGAGTATGAGTATGTAGGCACACGTGTGTGTGGGTGTGTACATGTGTGTGCATGTGTATATGTGTGTGCATGTGTATGTGTGTGTGCATGGATGTGTAAGTGCATTTGTGTATGCATATTTATATGTGAGTATGCATACAAATGTGTTTGTGAGTGTGCATGAGCGTGTGTGTGTGTGAAAGTCTTGTAACTCTGGCTCATGAGGGTCTTTTTGGAACAATCTCTTCTCCCCTTTTAGCTCCCTTGTCCTTTGAAAAAGTCCACATTTTCTAAAGGGCTTTTTCTTAGTACCATCCTCTGGGGTTCATTTACTTTTGTTTAATTAGTTTCCTGTTAATTAAGAATGAGAATTAGCTGGGTTCTAAGCATGCTCTCAGAGCTAGAGGTAAGCTAGAGTGGCCCCGAAGGAGATGGGGCTGTAATTTGGGAACAGGTGGGCCAGGCCTTCTGCTCTGGTCTGGGTAATTCCGCAGAACTTGGTGTCTGTGGGCTGTAGATTCATTCACGTGACGAGAAAACCCAGCGAGCCCTTGTGGGTCAGAGAATCGTGGGCGGTAGAAGCTGGTGCCTGCAGTGGGGCTTTTGTCTTTTTCTTCTAATCTCCGAGTCATTCAAAGTTGTGCCGCTGTGGAAGTTTTCCAGCCTTCATTTTTCCAAAGAATCCTACCTGCTTGCTGTGTCGCGTTTCCTGTCTGGATCCTTCGGCTGCTCCGTCTTCAGTCAGTGCGCTCTCAGTACCTTGATGTAGATTCAGTTTTTAGAATAGTTTTCCTATCAGTACCCCCCTTTGAAAGCTGTTTCCCCTCGGTTTATTTATAGGGTGATTTAATTAACCAAGAAAACCACGTCATGCAAGTTTTCGGTTTCTTTCCTTGAGTGGAGGGGGAGGGGCTTCGTGCTGCGATAGCAAGGCTGTGGGTCACAGCGTGTATTTCCTGGCAACTGGGGAAGGGACCCGCAAGCTTTAACGATGAAAGTTGCAGGCACTAGTGAGTCACAACTTTGAGGGTTGTGGTTATCAGGCACCGTTCACGATGGCTTTGCACTCCGTGTGTATGCACGCATTGCACACACACACAGATGCACACACACAAGCCACACATCAGTGACAGATGACCTATTGAAATAATTTCAGAGCCGGTCTGTGGTTGCTACGACAACCAATGCTCTCTTGGCTTTTATCTGGCCATGTGACAGGGACTTTGACGTCAGCCAGAGGCAGAGTCTGTGCCTGAGTCTGTCCGCATAGTCAAAGGCTTGTGAGAATCTGGTGGATGCTGGACCTCGCTGCTGAGGCTGTCGCTGCTGCTGTTGCTTTCACTGCGGTTGTTACTTCCCAGGGGCTGCAGGAGCATGGACTACTAAACCCCACATTGCTACGTGAGGTAACCAGCTTGCTTTATATGCCGGAGTTATGTTTTCCCAGCCTGTGGGAAAACATAACTCCCCTCTTAACCTCCTACAACTTTGTCTTCAGGAGCGGTTACTGATGGACCCAGGCAAAGAATGCGAAGTGACTTCTAGTCATGCATTTCAGGCAGCCTCTGGAATGTGGTTAGATTTGGATTAATGTTCCGTGAAGTAGGTTAAAATGTAATCTCCTTGCGAAACACTTGCTAACATACATTATTTAGAGATTCGCGTTGTGCGGTGTGAGCCAAACGTGCTCCCTCGAATTCCAGGAATCCTCGTTCGGTATTGTTCTGAGTCTAACAACTCCAGCACTGCCTGGCAGGGTGCAGCTAACTTTTCCTTGTTGCAGCTGCTGATTCTGCATCAGCCCACGGCCGGTTGGGTTGGGTTTCTCTCTCAGCTGCAGCGTGTACGCTTGGCGTCAATGAGAGCAGGGGAGACAAGACGCTAGACTTTGAAAGTCGTGATTCTTAGTGTACAAAAGGGCTTTCAGCACCCTGTAAACAACGGGGGACGCTGGCAACAGCTTCCTGTTTAGAGAGGAAGAATCTCCAATGTGCCAAGGAAGTCGGGGTGGGACCTATACATGTGTGTGTGGTTGCGTTTTGGGTGTTACTGTAAAGTCTTTCTGTGGCTTTCTCTGAAAACCCAGTAGTGAAGAGGAGGGACCGGGTGGCCTTTTCTAAGGAGCCCTGTGGGCTGGTTCTGATCTTTATTCTTAATTAAAATAATTATCTATAGACGAAAACAAGAGCCTGAAACCAAATGTTCATTGTTGTGAGGTCTACCTTAATTGCAGCACAGATTTAAAATGCTCACAAAAATTTTGCTCCAGGTCTTGCGTGAGTAATTTGGCAACTCTGCCGAGCAAGGGTTCTCACCTCTCCAGTTCTCTGGTACCCTGGGCACGAGGTTGTTGTGGGGGCATTGCTATGGTTCTGCTAGCTCCTTCTACAACTGCTAGCTTGTAGTTTCAAGGAAAACGCTGGCTCTGAAGCAAGCTTAGCTGTATAAACAGGACTCTAAATCCTGCAGATTTAACAGAATCGAGGCATATTTTAGAGTACCATATGGAAGAGAACCAACATATATATATGGAGTTGAGCAGAGACCGGCTCAACTCCATACATGATGGCTGTATGTTGATGAGATGTTAGTTGTGTTTCAGCTCAGTGGAAGAATACGTTGTTTTTGATCACATTACCAGGTGCAGAAATTTAAGTTATGCCCTTTACACTTGTGGGTGAGAACCTTGAACAGCTCTCAGCTACAGTGGTCACTGACTAACTGCGTGTATCAATTATTTCCCGAGTAGCTTTCAATGAGCAGACCTATTTTGAGCAGAGCTTCCACGAGGACTGTCCCATGTCTGAAGTGCTTGTATGGACCATGTACCTATTGACACAGCTTCCCATCCTTTACCCCTCCCCTCGTGATTCCAGTAACTCAGAGGCTACCTCTTTAACATGCCAACTGGTGTGTGACATTTCATTTGTGCATGGTGAGGGCAGTCATTGCTGTCATTTGGCATACACTCGGTGACCAACTTTTTGGGCTCCAACTCCAATGTCGTAATTCTTTCTCTTGATTTTCTCCCTGGGTTTTGAAATCACAAGATTGTGTGGAAAGCCTTTATACACGAGACTAGATTTCAATAATAAAAATGAGAGAGAGAGAGAGAGAGAGAGAGAGAGAGAGAGAGAGAGAGAGAGAGAGTGAGTGTGAGTTGATGCTAGGGGCACAATGTCAGTGAGAAAGTTGGAAAGCCGCCTCCGAGACGAAAGGTGCTGCTTTCAAAGCCACAGGTCCTTTTTTTTTTTTTTTTTTTTTTTTTTTAGCAAAATAAGGAAAAAAGGACTCGTGAGCAGCATCTACCTGCAGCAGTGTGACTGTGTTGCCTTCAAGGTCAAGTTTGCTTCAGCCTCAAACGATGCCAGTGTGGAAGGATTTACTCTAGACACCGGCTGCTGCATTATTGAGTGCTCTGTGTAGAGTTTCAGGAAACCTTAACCCTTTCGGGGCCATGAGCATGTTTGGCAATCTTGGTAAAGCCTACGGGCTCTTTTCAGAATGATATCTGAACAACATAAAACAAATCATGCCGGTTGCAAAGGAAGCCACTTTCCGTTAAAATGTGTTCAAAATAACAAGAGGCCATGAATTTGAAAAAGATCGGGGGGGGGGAGGTATATGGATGAGGTTGGAGGGAGAAAAGGGAAGGGGAGAGATGAATAATTACATTATAATCTCAAAAATAAAAAATAAAATGAACTATTTCTTTAATTAGGATAGTATATGTACTTTGTTGATATGTTCTTAAATCATACGAAGCAGCAGCAGCTGCAATGGCGATCATAATTTTGGAGTGGCGTTATCCATGAATGCTGTTTTGAGACTGAGCTAGTCTAACAACTACCATACGAAATGCAAATATCTGTGATTTCTCTTGGAAACAATGTCACAACCATTTTGATTTGTGACCCACATTGTAAAGGAAGGAAATACTGAATTTCAGTTTGGGGTTGTGGAAATGAAAGATGTCATGTTTTTAACCACCTAAGTTCCCAGGGTTCTTCTGAATTCTGTCTGCCTTAGAGTTAACTAATATGTGAGTCTGTGTGACCAAAAGCACTCAGACCCACTGCACAAAGTCCATAGCCTCGTTTTGGTTCCACAGCATCTGATTTTATTCTTGGATCATGAGAATGTCACAGTATTCTCTAAATACCTGGTGCAGAGATGGGTGGCGTGGTCCCTCAGCTGTGACCTGTCTTTGCTCTCCTCTGCCTTTGTCATCCTAAGTCTTCTGTGACCTGGACTGAGAGAGTCTCACCCTGTTCACTATGGGTAATGAGGGAAACAGAGTGTTGACACGTTATGCAAGTTCAAACCACGCACCACGGAGGGCTGTGGCTGTTTACGGAGACCTTTATCCGCACGGGGAAGGTGACGAAGCGGTGCTTAGATGATCATGTCAGGCACTATATGAGATCCAGAGAAGGAATCCTTCGAGAAAGTGCTCCATGCGCTAACAACCTTTAGAGCAAGCATTAAAGACCTTCTAGCTTAAAGCAAACCATACATAGACGCAAACTGACAACAAGCAAAGCTATTTCCAGCCGCATAAGGCTGACTTGTCAGGAGCCTCCAGAATGGTATGCATTCAACAGGAAGTGGGAAAAGGAGACACTTCCCGAGAAAGCTGAGCTGGATGCACAACATGTTTGTGCTGGAAGCAGGAGGTGCAAATGTTATCGTTTACCTCGACATACCAGAAAAGCTCCCATTCCCCACATTGCTTTGAAAGAGAAGGAACTAGTGCTGGCTTCCGTGTGTGCCACTGGGGAGCTCTGCAGTCAGTTGGCAGCTGTGACAGCCTGTGTTTAGAAAGTCCAAAGCCGGCCTTTGGATTACATCATCACCTACCGCCCCAGCGTGAAAGAATGGAGCTAAGATGTTTTGCACAAGCTGTTGTTTAAACCAAATCCAAATCCCTTGAATCTGAAATGGAACTGAGCGATTTTCCTTCGTGCATTCTCAGAGGGATTACCAAAGAGGATGTTCTCGAATAGTTCTTGCTCTTTGGATTAGGAAAAACACCTGCGTGGAGACTGAGTCTCTGTGGAAACCTGCGGGGAAACTTGGAAAAGTCTAAGATCTCCAACTGCCCTTTGCCTCTTAATGGTAGTGTTGGAAATTTCAGCACAGAAAGGAATGTGTCACTATTTTTTTTTTTTTACAAAATCAACTTTATTTTTAAAGTGCTGCCTTGTGGTGGAAAGCCAATTAGGAACAGCATTACAAAATTTAACATTTTTAAAATTGTTTCCAGAAGGGAGGCCATAAAATTCAGTGCTCATTAAGACCTGTATACAGAAATTGTATGACAAATATTTAAGTTCCCTGGTGCCACGGTCTCCAAACCAATATCAATCCATTTCTGATTTTAAATTTCTGTGCTTACATTTATTTATGAAATATATATCTGTAGATGCCATTGATGTCATGCTAAAATGGCTCAGTGCATACGAGCACTTCCTGCTCCTTGAAAGGGCCTGAGTTCAGCCCCCAGAAGCCATGCCAAGTGGCTCACAACTGCTTCTACTTCCAATCAGGAGATCTGAGGCCCTCTTCGGTCCTCCCCAGGCACCGGCGCACACACGGGCTCCTCCTACTGCTGCTCATAATAATGATAATTTAATCAATTTTAATGGAACATACTCCTATCACAATAAAGTTCTATAATTAGTTTGTAAGCAAGAAGTCAGTGATCTAAAAGATCTTCCTGTTGTTGCCTTGCTCACTAGGAAGCTTCTCCTTGGCATCTGAGTTCTGCTCAGTCACTCCAGCACAGTAGAGGCCTGTGCACAGGTGTACTGGTTACTTGCTTGTGGCCGTGACAAAAACACCACCAAAGGCAAACTAACAATGGAAGGCATTGATCTGGCTCACGACTAGAGGGATGTGGTCCATCGTGGCAGGGACGACAGGACAGCAGGACAGCAGGACCATGAAGTGGCTGGTCACATTACTTTCAGGGAGCAGGATGAGATGTTGTTTGCTGTTCCCTTTTTTATTTAGTTCAGGGCCCCAGCTCATGGGATGGCGCCTCCCACAGGCAGGATGGGTTTTCTCATCTCCAGTTACCCCAGGCTAGAAATCCCTCACAAATGTGCCCTTAGATTTATCTCTTAGGTGATTCTAGATCCTGTCAAGCTGACAGTCAAGACTAATCACTGCATCAAGGTAACACGGTTTAAATGATGATTCTGAAATGACTTTCTGTTACTGTATGTCCACCTGCTGGTAATACATACTAAACGGAATGACTGCATGCTAAGGGGACTCCCACAGACCACAGGTGATTTCGAAGATGCAATAACAAATAGCATTCCCTAACAGCGAAAGCATCCTCTACCTTCCCATCTCTTACCAAGGATCAGTTGCAGCAGGATCAGCCAACGGTCGATCA